ACACTACTAGAAGGCTCTCATATACACTACTAGAACGCTCTCATACACGCTACTAGAATGCTCTCATATACACTACTAGAAGGCTCTCATATACACTACTAGAACGCTCTCATACACGCTACTAGAAAGCTCTCAAACACACTACTGGAAAGCTTTCATACACACTATTAGAAAGCTAAAATATATGGTCCCCCTCCTTTAATTTAGGCAAACATTGCTCAAATATCACAGAATCCAGATGGTTTGTTGTTGATGAAGAGAGGAATAAACACAGTTTAAGATTTGCAGCTAAATTAATTTGTTTCCATATTATGGAACTGCTATCAGGCACTTCCCATCATCTTATATCAGTAATAAAAAATTATAAATACAAATTTGGTATTTGGTGACTTGACTTTTATTTCTGTCAGGCTGAAGTGAAAAAACTTGGAAAGAGACTGATTCTCTTGGCGTTTAAAATAACAACACAAAACAGCATAAGAAAACCGCATTTATTTTTTTTATTTTACAATTTTGTAAACAACAGCGGCTGATTAAACTAAATGTCTCAACCTTGTATAATTTTACGAGAGAGCGTTCTAGCAGTGTATATGAGAGCTTTCTAGTAGTGTATATGAGAGCTTTCTAATAGTGTATATGAGAGCGTTCTAATAGTGTATATGAGAGCATTCTAGTAGTGTATATGAGAGCTTTCTAATAGTGTATATGAGAGCGTTCTAATAGTGTATATGAGAGCGTTCTAATAGTGTATATGAGAGCGTTCTAATAGTGTATATGAGAGCTTTCTAATAGTGTATATGAGAGCTTTCTAATAGTGTATATGAGAGCGTTCTAATAGTGTATATGAGAGCGTTCTAATAGTGTATATGAGAGCATTCTAGTAGTGTATATGAGAGCTTTCTAATAGTGTATATGAGAGCGTTCTAATAGTGTATATGAGAGCGTTCTAATAGTGTATATGAGAGCTTTCTAATAGTGCATATGAGAGCGTTCTAATAGTGTATATGAGAGCTTTCTAGTAGTGTATATGAGAGCTTTCTAATAGTGTATATGAGAGCTTTCTAATAGTGTATATGAGAGCGTTCTAGTAGTGTATATGAGAGCGTTCTAGTAGTGTATATGAGAGCTTTTTAATAGTGTATATGAAAGCTTTCTAGTAGTGTGTATGAAAGATAAAGCTTTTCACCAGTTTATATGAACAGTTCTCACTACTTTGTATGAGAGCTTTTGAGTAGATTATATAAGAGGTAAATGTTTTCACTAGTTTATGTGAGAGCTTTTTACTAGTGTTTGTGTGAGGTTTTCAGTATATTATATGGAAGAGTGTAATTTAATATGTGTATATGCAAGTTAATTCTGATTTATGTCCCTGGGGGCACCTCATCAACTAGGGTGTGCTCAAAATGACCACAAGTTTACTCAGCTTCTGTGATCTACAAATAACATCATCAATGTGCAATGATTCAGTGTTTCCACATTAGCAAAGTAATTCAATGTAATATAACAGGACTACAAATAGCTTTATGGACAATACATATTTTTATGTGCCATATTTTCTATCAAATAAATAGTACAGCACTATCTGTGATATTCCAAATACAATTTCCTTTTAAAAAGGAGAGGAAAATATATTTCATAAACACACAGTGGAGAAATTTGGTTGTGATGATGGCAAAAACAGACAGCAGAATTAAGGGTTACACAAAACTGGAAAATCTAAAACAAACATTACAGCAGAAGAGAAAAATGCCAAAGATTCCTGCATGTGAATGCTCACTGTTTCTACATGCTCATTCAGGAGGAGTAAATTCTGCATGGACAATGACTTAATGCAATAATCTGGGTTTGAACCAAATTGTCTTTATGAACTGACTTACTTCTTTTGTCAACTGGTTCTATATAAATATATTTAATTGAAAAAGAAATACATCTGAGAGAGGAAAAAAAAATAACACTGCAGATAGAAACAGAGAAGGGATATTAACGTAAAGAAATTATAATGTTAAAAGAAAATATAGAATGATATATAGAATGAGAAGAAAACTGAGAAATATTCATAGTTGATATAATATTATTTATGTTATGTAAATAATTACAGCAATAAAGAAATAATTATTATATAAAGAATTAGTAAAATTATTTTTTTTTTCATTACTTTCTGCATTTACATATGTGACACTAATGAACAAAATTATCAGTATGCCTCCAGTCAGTTTATTTGTTTTTTTCAAAGGTACTGTGCAGAGATTTTTCAAAAATGAATAAAATTACTTCTGAATGTCAGCTAAGCTGAGTTTGCATGTCCAGATTGCCATGTTTGCATGACTTACTTTGACCTTGAGCGCTAGTTTTATTATTTTTACTTATGCTCATATAAACTGTACAATCCAATTTTTTTTCATTTGAACATTATAATACATTTGTGAAATTTTGCGCATGTAAACATAACTCCTGCAACATACAGAATAACATGCCTTATTTACTTTTTCTGTTTCTTATTTTCCTATGTTTTTTAAAGATTCTAATCCAGGTCAGATGTTTCCTGCAAAAAAAAAAAAGCTATTTTAAACCTCTCTTCCCTCTGGTGACAAAAAAAACAAACAAATAATAATAAAAAAAACATTTGGTTTTTTACATTCGTTAATCTTTTTGTTCTCTTTTCCTCTTTGTTCACATTTCTTTTCAAATTAGTCTTTTAAGTTGTTTTCTTGTACTCTGTAGATAGTGTCTACTCGTTGTTTTGTGTGATTTGAAAAAAACTGTTTTGAAATTTTGTGGTGGAGATCTATATGTATGCTTATTTGTGAAAAAAATTAAACTGAATACATTCTTTACAAAGATTAATGAATAATATCAATAAGTAAAAAATAGGACATAGGTCTGCCTTCATGATGATCCATATTGCTCTACCATAATGTTCTTACAAGTTAAAATCTAGGATACAGGAGAAAATGACATTAAAAAATAGATGTAATAAGTGTCTTAATACTCGTATCCATTGCATTAAGGAACCTAGTAATATTTGCAAAATGGTGATGAGGATCATGAGAAATGTTCTTAAAAACCTCATGAGGCTCCACCTTCCTGCACTGCATCATGGTGAAATGATATCCAGGTCACAGGAGAAGTTGATGAATAGCGGCCTAAGATGGTTGAACTCCTGAGCATACACACTCTTAGAATAAGTTAAGGCAGGACAAAAAAGTGCTTACATACTGCATAGTTGGAGAGATGGAGGAGAGACGGCACCGTTGCAACAGAATTCTACAGAAATGCCAAAATATGTTTAGAGTTAGGTTGCACAGACAAGCCAAGTATGACTCATTGCAAAGTCATAATAAGTAATCTGTGGGAAACTAGGCTACGATCGATTGCTTTGGACAACCTACAAAGTAAAACAGGATAATCTGGAGAGTTAATTCCTGCAGTTTAAGAAGGTTGTGCTGACAAAGTTAAGAGACTTTTTCCAGAGCGTAGATAGTAGACATAGAAATATCAGAAGCTTAAGCAGTGACCCAAAGGGCCTCAATTTAGTAGCAAAGCCTGCTTTTAAGTACAATTGATTATTAACTAAACTCCCAAGATATATATTTTAGGTGATGTTCTTCTGAAATGATCATTAATATTACCAAATTAAACATAAAAATTAAAGCTTCATAAAATGCTCTTTGATGGCATTAATTTGTTGTTATTTTGATTCTATTACATAAACATGTAAACACTAAGAACAACAGAGTGTTTACTGTGTTGTCTCTTCATTTGGATAAAAGAGGTAATCATCTTTATTGAGCATTGCAAATGAACATTACTGCCAAATCTCTCTTCTGCATTCAAGCATCCCTAAAGGAGCAGTGGGCAGCTTGCAGCACCCGGAGAGCAATCTGGTGCTAAGAGTCTTGTTCAGTGACCCAGAGAGGCAATGTGTGGGGTTTGACCAAGTACTTGCAGTTGTTTTCAGCATACAAGCACCCTGTTCTAAACACTAGACCTCCCACTCCCATAAAAATTCTAGGGTATCTATCAAGCAATTCCTTGACACACAGCACTTTCTCAGATCTGGTTGCAAGAAAATGTTTGTTTCTCTCTGGTTTGCTGTCCAGCAGCACTGGGCCAGTTTAAGAGGAGGGGTCCCATGGGTGTGTTGTGTCATCTTCCTCTTGTCCACCCATACTATTAATCATAATCATCAGATCAAATGAAAAACTACCTTGCAACACTGTTTGGTATACATAGCCTCCCTTTGTATGTTGCTGTCTGGAAAGATAACATCAGATAAGATAATGTGACGGATATTTTTAAGCCACTTTGCTGTGAGAAATTTGAAAAAAAAAAAAAAAAAAGATTTTGGTTGCAGCAGTTGGAATGATCCCAATGCCAGAAGCCCCTTTCTCTTCTCGTCTGCCTGTTTCTTCTCCACATAACAGCATGCTCAGTGCTGTTGCGAGTTGTGGCTGCCCTGCGGATGTCCAAAATAAATGCACTCTGCTTTTGCAAAGTCTACATGGTGACAGACAGTAACACATGCAAAAATCCTCATTTATATACGGTGGTCTGTGACAGTTCTGCACTGCTCTGAACATTATTTTATAAGATGTGCATCTACATTTAATTAGGTGTACACAGTGGTACGTAAAAACTAAAAGCAGACAGTGAAAAACACACATTGTATTAAACTAAAATTTTGAAGTAAATGTGCTTATTACTTGATGGCTTTCTTGTGTTTATATGTAGTGGGCATCTATCAAGCTACTATTTTCGTTATAACTTACAGAATTTGTTTAGATAGCCCACAGCATGCCACCTACTATATCTCACCCTAGCCAAGTTATGGTAGCAACTAGGCTTTATAGAAAGTAATACTTGTATAATACTGTTAAGCTGTGCTTATAAAGATTATATGCCAAAGCTTTAAAAGATCCCGAATTCTCTCATCAGTATGTCATTTCTGGGGTAGCCCGGAAACAAGCCTTTTATTTCAGACATGTTGGAGTCGGTGTCAGGACTCAGCAGGTAGTGTTGTGCTTTTTCTGCCCCTGCTTTCTGCACAGGTGACTGGAGTTGACTGGTGGGCGTGGTACACACCTGAGGCTCGTTCTGTGGTTACCTGTCTGCGCTATAAAAGGAGCTCTCTGACAGCTGGAGGATGCCAGAGTGTTAACCTTGTGTGGTACGCCTCAGTTGGCCACTGTCTTTGACAGCCTGAACCTTTCCTGTTTTGATCACCTTTCTCCTGTGTCTCCTAGAACGCTCCCTCGACTCTAAACCTGCTCCGGGCGTTTCCCCAGTGCTCGCCTGGTGTCTCCAGCTGATCGCTGATCACTGCTCCCAACGGCGCAGCTTGGATCCTGCACGAGTTTCCCCGGCCCGCTCATCGGTCACCCAGTCACCGGATCACCTCACCCAGGCAGCGCTGAGTCCGCTCCTCCACACCACCTCCCCAGTGCGCTTTCTGAGCTCAGTGGTAAGCCTTACGCACCTCTTTACGAGCGGCCCGTCCGCGGCGCGCTGTCTAATTCGTCTCTCCCTTTTCAGCTCGTGCAAACCCCGGTCCCGTGACTCTGCCTGACGCTGACTCATTGTTTAGTTTTCTCGTTTCTCTGAATTTATTTCTGAGCTTTAATAAAACCCTGAATCTGCTTCCTGTCTCCCGAGTGTTGTCTGCATGTGGGCCAAACACGTGAAAAACATGACAGAAGAACACTCTGGCCAGTCTGACCCAGCAGACACACTCGGGAGAACGCTCTCTGCCCATCAGGAGCAGCTTCAGGCTCTCCAACTAGCCATGCAAACTGCGCAGAATCAGCTGCAGGGGCTTACAGCCCAGATCAGTCAGCTGTCTGACACGTTCTGCGCTGCGTTCCAGACCTCAGCCTCCGCTCCCCCGAGCGCAGCGAGCGCAGCCCCAGAGCCCACACAGATTGAGCCGCTGCCGTCAATCCCTGAGACCTCCTCCCCTAGCCCTGAGAAGTTTTCTGGGGACAGCGGGGACTGTGGAGGATTTTTATTTCAGTGCTCCTTAGTTTTCAATCGTTCCCCGCGAACGTACCCCAATGATGAGGCAAAGATCTCTTTCATCCTGCGCCTATTAACAGGGCGAGCATTAAGATGGGCTGAGTCCCGCTTTCCCGACTGCCGACGTTTCCGCTGCACTTTTGATGAGTTCCTGCAGGAATTTAAAATTATCTTTTCGGCCGAGACCGATCCGGTACAGCAGTCCCGACGCCTTTTGACTCTCAGGCAGCGCGGCAGGCGCGTCTCTGATTTTGCAATCGAGTTCCGCACGCTGGCAGCCGCCGCGGGCTGGGAACCACACGCTCTAAAATCTGTGTTCTACCAGGCTTTGGATGAACCTCTCAAGGATGAGCTATCCCGCCTTGAGGAACCGACCTCCCTGAACGATCTGATCGCGCTGGCCATCCGTTTAGACAACCGGTTGAGGGTTAGGGAAAGGGGTCGAATGGAGAGACAGTCCTTTCTTCTGCCGCTCCCTCCTTCCCCAGAGCGAACCCATCTCCGACCCGTTGCTGCTCCTCCTTCTTCCCCGGAACCCATGCAGGTGGGCCGGGTACGCCTTACTCCAGAGGAGAGGCAGCAACGTATAGATGCAAGGTTATGCATATACTGCGCGTCTCCTGAGCATTTTATTAATACCTGCCCAGAACGGCCAAAAGACCGTGTCCGTCGGCTGTAACGAGGAGGCCGGCGGACCACGCTGAGGACTCGTTCCCCACATCTCCTCGTCTCTGTTTGCAAGCGACCATTCTGACGGCCCATAAGAACTTTAACCTTTCCGCCCTGGTGGATTCAGGGTGCGACTTTAATTTGATCGACCAAGCCCTAGTTCTTCAGGCTGCGGTCGAGACTGTTCCGTTACCCACTCCCCTCCAGGTTTCTGCCCTGGACGGAGGAAGTCTTCCCCGTATCACTCATCGAACCAAACCCCTGGAGGTCGTAATTTCAGGTAACCATAGGGAGTTAACCTCCTTTCTCGTTTTTCCTGTTAAACACGCCCCGCTCGTCTTGGGTTATGCCTGGTTACAACAACACAACCCACACATTAACTGGGCTGACCAACGCGTCGAGTCCTGGTCCCCAACCTGCCTGTCTCGCTGTATGCAATCCGCCGTTCCCATTTGTCCTACTTCTGTACGGACTTCCTCTGATGTGGACCCCGTTAATTTAAGTTTGGTCCCTGAACAATACCATGACCTACAGCTGGTTTTTAGTAAAGCCCAGGCTGAGTCATTACCCCCACATCGACCGTATGATTGCGCAATCGATCTCCTGCCGGGCGCGCCTCTGCCAACTAGCCGCCTTTATAACATCTCTCGGGCCGAACGACAGGCACTAGAAAAATATATAAAAGAGTCCCTGGCATCCGGCCTGATCCGTCCTTCCTCCTCTCCACTCGGAGCTGGCTTTTTCTTTGTGGGGAAGAAGGACGGCTCCCTCCGCCCATGCATTGATTATCGCGGGTTAAACTCGATTACTGTTAAGAATAAGTATCCCCTACCACTTCTTTCCTCTGCTCTTGAACCGGTCCAATCCGCCACTATCTTCACCAAATTAGACCTGCGCAATGCTTACCACTTAGTTCGGATTCGTCGGGGGGATGAGTGGAAAACGGCATTCAAGACCCCGCTTGGTCATTTTGAATACCTGGTTATGCCCTTCGGCCTGTGCAACGCCCCGTCAGTCTTCCAGGCCCTTGTAAATGACGTCCTTCGAGACTTTCTGAACCTATTCGTGTTTGTCTACTTGGATGACATCCTTATCTATTCTCAAAACCTCTCTGAGCACCAACAACATGTGCGGCTGGTTCTCCAGCGGCTCCTGGAGAACCGCTTGTTTGTTAAGGCTGAAAAGTGTGAGTTCCACAAGTCCTCAGTTACTTTCCTTGGGCTCATTCTGGAGGGAGGTAGGGTCCGATCTGACCCAGAAAAGATCAAGGCGGTCCTCGATTGGCCGGTACCAGAGTCACGGAAGCAACTCCAACGCTTCCTTGGCTTCGCCAACTTTTACCGACGCTTCGTCAGAGGCTATAGTCAGATCGCTGCTCCCCTCCATGCTCTCACGTCGCCAAAAACCCCTTTCGTCTGGAACCCTGAAGCCGGCTCTGCGTTCGCCACGTTGAAGGAAAGGTTTTCCCAAGCTCCCATCCTCATTCACCCTGACCCTGAAAAACAATTCACAGTTGAGATAGATGCCTCTGACACAGGTGTGGGCGCGGTCCTTTCCCAGTGCTCGGACCGTGATCAGAAGCTCCATCCTTGCGCCTTCTTCTCCCGACGTCTGACCCCCTCAGAGCAAAACTATGATGTAGGAGACAGAGAGCTCCTGGCCATTAAACTGGCCCTGGAGGAGTGGCGTCACTGGCTTGAGGGGTCCGAACAACCCGTCATCATTTGGACCGATCATAAAAATCTTGCTTACCTCCAAACCGCCAAGCGTCTCAACCCCAGGCAAGCCCGCTGGTCCCTTTTCTTCTCTCGGTTTAACCTGTCCATTTCCTACCGTCCAGGCTCCAAGAACCTGAAACCTGACGCCCTCTCCCGTCTATATGCACCCCAGGACTCTGTTAGAGAGCCAGCTCCCATCCTGCCACCCACCTGCTCCTTTGGTGCCCTCCACTGGGAGATTGAGGATCTGATCAGACAAGCTCAGCACTCAGACCCTGACCCGGGTAACGGTCCTCCTGACCGAACCTATGTTCCCCTCTCTGTTCGCCCCCGTGTAATTCAGTGGGCCCATTCAGTTAAATTCTCTGCCCATCCAGGCATTAACCGGACCCTCTCTTTCATCTCCCGGCACTTCTGGTGGCCTTCTATGCCTAAAGATGTCCGGGAGTATGTCCTCTCCTGCCCAGTCTGTGCTCAGAATAAGACCTCAAATAAACCCCCAGCGGGCCTTCTTCAGCCACTGCCTGTACCTGAACGCCCTTGGTCCCACATTGCTTTAGATTTCGTCACTGGCCTCCCAGTGTCTCAGGGCATGTCAACCATACTCACGATCATAGACAGATTCTCCAAAGCCTGCCATCTTATAGCCCTCCGTAAGCTCCCATCGGCCCTCCAGACTGCCCAGCTCCTGGTGAGGCATGTCTTTCGCCTCCATGGCATCCCACAGGACATTCTGTCTGACCGTGGTCCCCAATTCATTTCTCAGGTGTGGAAAGAGTTTGCCACAGCCCTTGGGGCCAGGTATTCCCTTTCCTCCGGGTACCACCCGCAGACCAATGGGCAGACAGAACGGCTTAACCAGGAGCTGGAGTCTGCTCTCCGCTGCCTGACTTCCACCAACCCAGCGGACTGGAGCAAGTACCTCCCCTGGGTCGAGTATGCCCATAACTGCCACACTTCCACTGCCACCGGGTTCTCCCCCTTTGAAGTCTCCCTGGGCTATCAACCTCCGCTCTTTCCCGCAGACGTTAGACAGATCGCCGTTCCCTCTGTCCACCATCACATCCACCGCTGCAAGCAGATCTGGTTGCAGACCATCCAGGCCCTCCACAGAACTGCTGACCAGAACCGCAAATTTGCTGACCGGAGGCGAACCCCTGCCCCTCATTACCGCCCCGGTCAGAGAGTCTGGCTCTCCACCCGGGACATCCCCTCCGGGTCCACCCACCGCAAACTGGCCCCCCGCTACACCGGTCCCTATGAGATCCAGGCCATCGTCAGTCCCTCAGCTGTCCGTCTCCGCCTCCCTCCTCACTCGAGGGTCCACCCTACTTTCCATGTCTCCCGCATCAAACCCGTGCTTTCCAGCACATTGTGCCCCTCAGCCGAGCCCCCTCCTCCCGCCCAGGACTTCCAAGGGCGCCGGATCCAGAGGATTGTGGATTCCCGTCGGCGGGGAAGAGGCTGGCAGTACCTCGTCGACTGGGAGGGCTGCAGTCCCGAGGAGCGGTCATGGGTATCCGGCTCCTCCATCCCTGATCCTGCTCTTCTTGATTCCTTCCTGGCCTCTCGTCCCTCCACATCTTCCTCGCTGTCGCCAGGTGGCGACCGTTGAGGGGGGGGTGGTGTCAGGACTCAGCAGGTAGTGTTGTGCTTTTTCTGCCCCTGCTTTCTGCACAGGTGACTGGAGTTGACTGGTGGGCGTGGTACACACCTGAGGCTCGTTCTGTGGTTACCTGTCTGCGCTATAAAAGGAGCTCTCTGACAGCTGGAGGATGCCAGAGTGTTAACCTTGTGTGGTACGCCTCAGTTGGCCACTGTCTTTGACAGCCTGAACCTTTCCTGTTTTGATCACCTTTCTCCTGTGTCTCCTAGAACGCTCCCTCGACTCTAAACCTGCTCTGGGCGTTTCCCCAGTGCTCGCCTGGTGTCTCCAGCTGATCGCTGATCACTGCTCCCAACGGCGCAGCTTGGATCCTGCACGAGTTTCCCCGGCCCGCTCATCGGTCACCCAGTCACCGGATCACCTCACCCAGGCAGCGCTGAGTCCGCTCCTCCACACCACCTCCCCAGTGCGCTTTCTGAGCTCAGTGGTAAGCCTTACGCACCTCTTTATGCGCGGCCCGTCCGCGGCGCGCTGTCTAATTCGTCTCTCCCTTTTCAGCTCGTGCAAACCCCGGTCCCGTGACTCTGCCTGACGCTGACTCATTGTTTAGTTTTCTCGTTTCTCTGAATTTATTTCTGAGCTTTAATAAAACCCTGAATCTGCTTCCTGTCTCCCGAGTGTTGTCTGCATGTGGGCCAAACACGTGAAAAACATGACAGTCGGGATACATCTAAAAGGATAGGGGTTCCTACTGTAAGTGTTGAACTTGAGCACCCATAGTTTCAGAGAATGTTAATGGGCTAAACAGGTATGGTATGGGGGAAGCACAAAACTTCTCTCTATAAAGAGAGATACCTTCTGTCACTGTAGATCTTTCTCTGGCGTATTTGAAGGATTTGAAATTGTAGAAGTGGTATGACTGAGAATTTGTGTTGCTTTTGAAATTGCAGCTGTTATATCCACAGAACTGTGCTTGTTTTCTTGTGTGTCCATGTTTTTCCGTCCTTTAAGGGTGTAACCGGCAGGTTTAGGATTTAAAGCTATGGTCCTTAATGGGTCATCAGGAGGATGTTAAAGAGGAGCTGGCTCTCTGAGACACAAGCAAATACTTTTGCTCTAATAAACAGGTTCTCTGTTGTTCTCCGTGTTCTGTGCT